CTGACACTGTAGGCCCCAGCTCCCAGCCGCTGCTCGGATCCTTACAGTTAGATGTTGGGTTCCTCCTGGAGCTGGACCTGGGGGCAGGCAGGGTGGGGGAGGGGAGCTGCGGTGCCCTTGGCAGGGCTGGGTCCTGGTGGGCTCAAAGCCAATGGGAGCGGCTGGGGCAGGGCCTGGATTCTTGGATCCTCAGTTTCTTGGCAACCTTCGTGACTCAGTGGGCTGGTAATAGGGGCCGGCAGGCAGGCAGCCAGTGCAGGGGAGCCCTGCGGTGGGTGAATCAGCCAGTTGCTGAATTACTGTCCTGCCTGGGGTGGTGCCAAGCCCCAGCTGCCAAAATAAACACAGCCCCTCTTTGCCTTTCTGTCCCCGCTCCAGGGTGGCCCACCTTCCACATGCCTTGGCAGGTGTGTCCTGTGGAGGGAAAGGGCCTCCCCATTGGGGTGTGTAGCCTTCCACAAGTCATTCGGAGGCTCTGCCTCCCCACCACACACAGGGGCCCTCCCGTGAACCAGAGGCCATTGAGATACTGGCACCCTGGACCTAGAAGGGCACCATGAGGATAAAATCACCTCTGACTCTTTTCCCAGCACTTTGGGAGGCCGAGGTGGGTGGATCACGAGGTCAGGAGATCGAGACCATCCTGGCTAACACGGTGAAACCCCGTCTCTACTAAAAATAGAAAAACTTAGCCGGGCGTGGTGGCGGGCGCCTGTAGTCCCAGCTACTCGGGAGGCTGAGGCAGGAGAATGGCGTGAACCCGGGAGGCGGAGCTTGCAGTGAGCCGAGATTGCGCCACTGCGCTCCGTCCTGGGCAACAGAGCAGACTCTATCTCAAAAAAAAAAACAAAAGTCTTCCTGCTAAGAGTTTGCAGGAGGGAGCGACTGGGAGCGCAGTCTCAGAGTCAGACAGGATTGGAAGCCCTGCTCTGCTGTGTGGCTTTGGATGAGTTTTGTGCCATCTCTGAGCTTCTGTCCTCAAACTTACCTGCAAAACCTGCTTTACGTATCATGATGGTGAAATGATACCCGCATTGGCATGGCAGTGAGTAGTAGAAATTATCGGGGGTTGTGGGCTCTGGTTTAGGCGCCAGGTTGGAGGCAGCAGTGATCAGGAGAAATGGAAGTCAGAGTTCCCAGCCTGGGCCTCCTACAGGGGACAGACCACCCACCCCAGGGACAGGGCCCAGCAGTGTCAAGTCTGTGTGCTGCCTGGAACAAATCTACTTGTGATCCTTACTTTGGAACAGAGTAGAGGAAAGCAAGGGGGCCGGACTTACACCCTACCTTGGCACTAACATGCTGTGTGACCTCAGGCAAGTTGTTCGCCCTCTCTGGGCCTCAGTTTTCTCAGTTTTACAACAGAGATGATGACTGTGGCTTCATCTTTCTGGCAGAGGCTGTGTGGAAAAGTGCTTTGTCCCCACTGAGGTATGCTAAAGGCAGCGCCAGACTAGGCTTTAGGGGATGAAGACATGTCAGGAGTTGATCCTGCCTCCCAGGCTTCTGAACATGGCAAGAATTTGCCCCTGGGCTGCACGGTGACAGGTGTCAGTGGTGCCCCCATCCCTGGGAGTCTCCTAGTCAGATGCCAGGCATAGGTGCAGTCTCCAGGGGCAGGATCCATCTCGTGTATGACCACAGCACCATCGCTGCCTAGCAGAGCCGGCTGGGCCTGAATGTGTGTTCAGTGACTTGACGGGCCCTCAGGTTCCTAGAAGCCAGGGGGAGGGGAGCTGAGTGTCCCTCCAGCTGGATACTAAGTCTGGTCAGCAGGTCCCTGAGTCAAGTTAGCAGCAGGAAAGAGGAGCAAAAGCCAGGCCTCAGCCTCTGCTATCTGCTTCCTGGACAGGATGTGGTGCCGAGTAAACAGCTTCTCGAGGAGTCACCGCTCTGGCTCTGAGTCACAGCTCCTAGCGACAGCTGCACAGTGTTTGTAAACAATGGGCCTCGCACCGGCCTGGCCCTGCCCCTACCTAGAAAGGTGCCTGTGGGTTGGGTTTTGCTAGCCTGGGCTTGTGTGTGTGGCCAGGTGCATTATCCCAGGCCACCTGGACTGCTGGGCAGAGCATCGTGGGACCACTGGCAGGTCGTGTGTCCTGGGAGAAGCCTGAGGTCAGGGCTGTCGTGAGCTTCACACACAGTAGCTGGAAATGTTTGTGTCGTGTATGGCCCTCACTAGGCCCAGCTCCTGAAGGCAGCCAGAGTTGGGGTGGTGGGGGGCTGCAGGTGGAGCTCTTCCAACTGGCCTCACCCCCAGGCCCCAGCGCCTGGGCTCTCCATGGCGGTCTTCGTTCCAGGCAGTGACAGTGATGTGGCGCATCACGTGGCAGCCTGGCCGGCAGGGAACAAAGACCCTGCTCTCCCCCAGGCTGGTGGCAGAGGCAGGGCCAGGGACCACGTGGGTGGGAGGAGGAGTGCGTGGCCCTGCTGCTCCCCTCCCGCCGGCACCACCTCCTCAGGATGCCTGCATTTCTGAGTGACAGCTGGTGCTGCTCCTCCTGCAGCCTGACTGTGTCACCAGCCCCTCGACAGCCTTTTCAGCAAACTCAGTGCCCACTGCCGTGGGTAACCCTGCCCACCCTGGCTCCAAAAGGAGGAGCCCCAGGATTGGGCCCTGAGGCCAGGCTGACCTGTGCTGGAGGTGGGGGCAGGGGAGATATGGGGGTAACAGGCTTGGGAAGCTGGGCTGGAGTGGGCTATTCAAGAATAACACAGAAAGCTTGCATGAGAGATGCGATGGCCTGCACAGGGCCTGGTACCCAGGAGCTGCTTGTCCAAGTAAAGGCATTAGCTCACAAACACACCTAGCAGGGTAACCTGGTTCCCTGCCACTTCCCTACTGGTCCCCCACCATGAAAGCTGAGCACTTCTGGCCGGGCGCGGTGGCTCTCGCCTCTAATCCCAGCACTTTGGGAGGCCGAGGCAGGTGGATCTCGAGGTCAGGAGTTTGAAACCATCCTGGTCAACATATGAAACCCCCTCTCTACTAAAAATACAAAAATTAGCCTGGCACGGTGCCGCATGCCTGTAATCCCAGCTACTCAGGTGGCTGAGGCAGGAGACAAGCTTGAACCTGGGAGTTGGAGGTTGCAGTGAGCCGAGATGGTGCCACTGCACTCCAGCCTGGGTGACAGAGCGAGACTCCGTCTCAAAAAAAAAATAAAAGGAAAAAAGAGAAAGAGAAAGTTGAGCGCTTCTTTCCAGGGCCTCTTTAAGCCCCCCACCCAATCAAATGTGTACACACTGTAGGAAATACCTTCTCGCCCACTGAGCCTTTCTACAGGGCTGGGCTGAGAGGTCACACTTTACATACAAGGAAACCGAGGCTCAGGGAAATCCTCTCCACCCCCCCAAACCACGTGGTGAGCTCCCTGTTAAACTTGGAGCGGCAGCCGAACCACACCACACAATGCCCACGGTCACATGGCCAGGCAGTTGGCGACACCGGAGTGAGAGGCCGAAGCTGGGGACAGTCTCGGATCCCTGCTCGGATACCAACCCCTGCCGCCTGCCTCACCCAGATCCTGCCTGTCTGCACAGGGCTTCTTTCCCGTTAAGAGTGTGTACCCAGACAGCGTCCTCTTCGTTGGTCTCCTCTCCCGGGGGTGGCGGCTGGCAGCCCGATCGCTGGGGGTGCCTTGCAGTACCCATCTGTGTGTGTTTCTACATCAGCAAACATTTCCGAGCTATCTGCTAGGATCCAGATACAAGCCACACTCTGAGCACTGGGCAGACCCTGGACTGCCATCTGGACCTTGCTGTCAGGGATGGAGTCAGGCTATGGCACTCCTGGCACAGGGGCAGCACCCACCAACATTGATCAAATGTCTGTTATGTGCCTGGCACTGGGGCAGGCATGTGACCCTGTGGCACCTGAACTCCTCAAATCCCTGTGGGAGATGATTGTTGCACATCTGCCAAGCACGACCATGAGCCAAGCCCATGCTGAGTTATTGTGGAATCCTCCAGCGCCCTTGTGCCCATTTTACAGAGGAGCAAACTGAGGCCCAGAGATGCTAAATCACTGGCCCAGGGTTCCAGAGTCCCTGGGGATCGGAATTTCAGTCCTGGGCTGACCGGTTCACAGCCTGGCTGGCTCTACTATTTCTTGAAGCTAAAGGTTGAGTCATTGTGTGCGAGAGAGGTCAGAGGTGACGCCTGACTTTCCCAGGGGACAGGGCCTTGGAGCCTGGCCCACAGGAGGAAGTGTGCCAGATGGAAAAAGGACAGGGAATGGGGTGGCTGGGGCAGGGATGGTCAGGGATGGTGTTGGTGCATTAAGACAGGGGTGTTGGAGAAGGCTGCTCTGAGTGGGGACCGAGTCCTGAGACCAAGGGGTAAGAACATAGTTCCCAGCAGAGGATGCTGGCAGCTGGAGTTAGTAGGAGGGGGCTGTGGGCAGGTGAGGACTTGGGATTCTCTTCTGGGTGGGACAGAAATGGTGCAGGGATTTTAGCAGAGGTGATTTGTTCTGACCGCAGGGTGAGTCCAGGGAGGCAGGAAAGTGGCTGCTCCAGGGTCCCCCTGAAATGACCCTCTAGCTCCATTTATCTGATGCCCCTCCAGCCCAGCCTGGCCCCACCCCCAGATGTCCACCCACATCCCCTGAGAGTCCCCACCCCAAGGGTGGCAGAGCTCCCAGGCCCTGAACTGCCTGCTCAGCTGGGTCCCCTGAGGCCCACAAAGCCACCGGAAGAGGATGTGAGATGCTCAGAGGAGCAGAGCTGGGAGCAAGCTGCTGCTAGGGCAGTGTCTGGGCGAGACGCTGGGCCCCGGGGCCTGATGTGCCTGTGGGGGCCCTCCACAGCCCCTGCCCACACCCCCTCCTCCCTGCCTCTGCTGTCCTGCTCCCTGCCCTGTGCCCTCCACTTACAGCCAGGGACTGGGCATCCACCCGGCCAGGGTCCCAGGAAGGTAAGGAAGTAGCTGAGACCCTTGGCCTCTGACTTCACCCTGGCATCTCTGGGCTTTGGGGTTGGGGCTCTGAGTGTTCTTACCCCCAGGTCAGGATGGAGGGAGCGTCTGCAAGCTTTGCAGAGCGGCTGGACAGACGTGAGTCCTGGGTTTTCCTGTGAGATCTTGGGCAAGTCCCAGCTTTCTCTGGGGCTCATCTTTCCACTTGTCAGATGGGTGTGTTGGATGCGTCCGATGGCTTCCAATGTCTGGTTTGAAGCAAAATAAGAAAAACAGGGATGGGGACAAGGTGGTAAATTTTGTGTTGTGGTGGTGGTGGTGGTTGTTTACAACTCCAGTAGTCACTCTAGTAAATTATTCTAAAAGTCAAATGTACTCATTTCATGGCTGCCCTTCTTTCTGATGGCAGCCCTTTCTTGTTACCTTCGGTAGTGTTTTTTCTGAATGGTGGGAGTAGTGCTGGTGATATTATTATTTTTTACCATCCTACTTAATGAAACAGTTGGCAACCCCCACCCCTGTGCCCAGTTAAAATGAAATCTTGTGGCTAGGTGCGGTGGCTCATGCCTGAAATCTTACCACTTTGGAAGGCCAAGTCAGATGGATCACCTGAGGTCAAGAGTTCGAGACCAGCCTAGCCAACATGGCAAAACCCCATCTCTAATAAAAATACAAAAAAATTAGCCAAGTGGCTGAGCGCGGTGGCTCACACCTGTAATCCCAGCACTTTGGGATTACAGAGGCAGGCAGATCATGAGGTCAGGAGTTCGAGACCAGCCTGGCCAACATAGTGAAACCCCGTCTCTACTAAAAATTCAAAAATTAGCCGGGTGTGGTGGCACGTGTCTATAGTCCCAGCTACTTGGGGGGCTGAGGCAGGAGAATTGCTTGAACCCGGGAGGCGAAGGTGCAGTGAGCTGAGACTACGCCATTGTACTCCAGCCTGGGTGACACAGTGAGACGATGTCCCAAAAGAAAAAAAAAAAATTAGCTGAGTATGGTGGCATGTGCCTGTAATCCCAGATACTCGGGAGGCTGAGGCAGGAGAATCACTTGAACTGGGAGGCGGAGGTTATAGTGAGCCGAGATCGCACCACTGCACTCCAGCCTGGGCGACAGAGAGAGATTCCATTTCAGGAGAAAAAAAAAAAGAAGAAAGGAAATCTCGTGCCTGGGTGCCAGGGATGGAGGAGCTCAGGTCTAGGGGGCAGGGAAGCCTTCCAGAACAAGTGAGTAGGGGTCTCCTGCCTGCCTCCCAGTGCCTCTGGCTACACTCACATCCACCTGGTAGCTCTGCTGACTGAGCCCTGTTTTGATTTGGTCACTTGTATCTGTCACCTTTCTGACTCTATGTGGTGGTTTCCAGTCCCCTGACACAGAAGGAATGGGAGTGGGGGCTTGGAGAACTAAGGGAGAAAGCTGGGCTAGCTTGGGGCAGCCTCTCCACTTGTCCTCGGCTGGCCCGTGGCCTAGTACAAGCGGGAATTCCTGGCCCTGCCTGTCACAGGAGCAGGTATGACAGCCACGCGGGTGACACCAGGCCTAGGCACTCGGGTGCTCCACTCCACTAAGGCACGTAGGTGACAAGCACACTGGCAGAGGGCCTCCCGCAGGGCCCACTTCCCACCTGGCTCTCGCCCCACCATGGCCCGGGAAGCAGGCCAGGTTTGTGCCAGGCCTGCCGTGCCCAGAGTGGGGAAGGGCTCCGTGTTCTTTGCGTGTGTCTCTGTGGTGACTGCCAGGAGGAGGGCCATCGCCCGCCGTGCCGCTCTCCAAAGCCCGACACCTTGGCTGGCACCTCTGCCACCACCGGCCACCACTGAGGTGAGTTTCCAGGGCAACCAGTGCTTCTGCCGGGGAGAGGCTGGGTGGGTCACCGCCGGGCCCCAGGGGCGCAGGAGTTGCTTTCCCAGGACTCCCCTTCTTCCCCATCAGAACTGGTTGGAGGAGTTTGGAACTCGCAGTGGAGTCTTCATCTCCCATCTCGGGTATGAGAGAGGAGACTGGGGGTCTGCTCTGCTGCTGGTGCCTGTGTGCACCCACTTGGCCTCCCCAGCTGCCCCGTGCTCCGTGGGTCGGTCCAGGGTGGCTGTGGGCTGTCCCGGAAGCTCTGTCCGGAGAGTGCTTCTTGGATTACCAAGGACTTCTGTGCACTACTTCACTGTCTGCTCTCCTGAGAAGCCTGAGAGCCCGGTGCTATGACGGTTACTGTCCTCATTTTACTGATGGAGAAACTGAGGCCCCGAGAGGTGAAACTAAGGCTAGGAAGACACAGGACAGGCACTGGAACCTGAATCTGTGCTCCAGATCTTAAAAGAGTTCCCCAAACCCACAAGAAAGAATGACCCCTTAGGGCTGGCTCATCCCAAGGCCCCCTGTGCTATGACATTTCCAGCTGGCACTTTGTGGAACATTTCCAAGGAGTCCGGGGCCAGGCTGGCGGCTGACCACCCTACAGGAGGGGAGACCATGGATGCTGGGGCCCCTCAGGGTGTGATGTGCCCCGCCTATCACAGCTGTGGGATAGACGTCGCTGCCTCCTGATCAGGGCCCCCGGGCTTGGGGACAGGTACTAGGCTGAGATTATGGGACCCTCTGGGCCTTTGGTCCCTTCCTCAGCCAGGTGTGCACAGCGCCCCCGCAGCCCCTCTGCCACTCTCTCTCCTCACCTCCATCTGCCTGCTGTCTCCCTCTCCCGCTGTGGTCCTCCGGCTCACTTTTGGGTCTTAGGCTCAGTTTCCCTCTATGTCTACCTCTCTCCTCTGCTTCCCTCCACGTCAGGCTGTCACATGTTGAATTGGTAGCCCCTTGGGGGTGGCAGTGACTCGTCATGGTGCCAGGCAGCGAGCACTGCAGGAGTGGGGGACAGCTGTCCGAGCGGCCCCCGGTTTGCAGCCCATGGATGCATTTATCACATTTGCTCCTCTGCGTGCCTACCCCTCAATATGCTGTGGGTGTACCCATTTTCAGAGGATGACAGCAGTGCCCCACAGCGAGTCCCAGGCTGATCCGGAGCCCTCTGCATCCCCATCCAGGGCTGTTTCCGCTGCTCCCGGCATCGGCACACCTTGTTCCGGTTGTGCTGAGACAGCAGCGCCCTGTGAGGTCAGAGGGTTGCTGTCACCCCGCCACCCAGTGTGGTCTCCTAGAGATTTCAGTGGTTCGGTGCTTCGCTTCTCACCTGGCTAGCTCTGAGTTCAGCCTCTCGCCTGTGGGGACCCCTGCATCCTGGAGATAGAAGGAGGAGGAAGAAGCTACCAGAGGTTGCCAGGAACCCAGTGGCAGGGGAGGTGGGGCTGAGCCAGGCCCGCCTGCTGTGCCGGGAGTTCCCACGCGTGGTCCAGCTGCGTCACCTCCTGCCAAGGTGTGTGCTCACCCGTCCACAGAGGGCCACCCCAGGACCTAGGCAGGCTAGGAATGGTGACGCCAGTGTTGGGAAATGACCGAGGAGCGTGTCCAGGCCTCACCCTTTTCATGTCCTCCCCAGGCTCTAAATATAGATCACAAGAGACAGAAAGGGGTCATTGACCTCCACCTGCCCAACAGGAGGTGACAGGTTTTCCACCAGGGCCTGACCTGAGTCTGGATACCTGGCTGCCTTTCCTCCCGGCCTTGGCCGAGCCCAGGTTGGAAAGGGTGATAGCCAAAGGCCACAGTCACCCAGACACTGCCTTGTGCCCGGTTCCCGCTCTGAACTGCTGTGTGTCTGGCAGTCCCTAGAACTGCACCCCAGGCCCAAAACCCATTCCCTGGGATCTTGCCTAAAGGCAGGCCTGGGTCCCGACTTGAAGGTCCACAGGGGCAGCTTTTATGATCCGCCTCTCAGGTACTGGCCAAGGATGTACCGGCCGAGGAACGGGTGGAAGGAGGGAAGGACCAGCCAGAGAGAAGGGGCAGCGTGAAGAAGGAGCTGCAGCAGTTCTGCCGAGAGGGAGCCTGGAGGGGGAAGCTAGGACCACACCGAGCCAGTGGTCTTCTGCCTGAGGGCAGTGGGATCAAGACCCCACTGGCCATAGTGTCTGGGTATGGGAGCAGGGAGAAGAGGGACCACAGAGTTCCAGCCTGAACACATATTTTCCTTAAATGAGACAGCTGCTCAGGGGCTGAGGAGTGACGTAAGATGCCCAGGGAGTCTCTCCTCGCCTCCATCTGCCTGCTGCCTCCCTCTCGCGCTGTCCCTCGCTGTGGTCCTCAGGCTCACTCTTGGTTCTTGGGCTCAGTTTCCATCTGTGTGTCCCCCTCTGTCTCTTCCTCCTCTGCTTCCCTCCACTTCGGGCTGTCACATTGTTGAATTGGTGGCCCCTCCAGGGTGGCAGTGACTCCCCTGGGTGTCGGGCACTGGGCACTGCAGGAGTGGGGGACAGTTGTCAGAGCAATCCCCACACATGCCCTGGCTACAGGAGGCAGCTGCAGTCAGCTTCCGGCGACACTCGGGAACACAGACCCGGTGTGGTCAGGTCAGCCAGAGTTACAGGAAAAGTGGGAAATGTGGATTTTTATATGAAATCACCTGACCTTTTACTGTTGGCTTAAAATTTTAAAAACACTTCGCAAGCCAAACAAAACACATGTGTGGGCGGGAGCTGGCTGCCATCTGTCAGTTCACAGCCTGCCTTTTTAAGTTCTCCTGCGAGCAGCGTCCCGGCTTCCGAAAGGTCTGTGCAGCTGTGCTTTCCAGGGGCTTATGGTTGTAGCCCCCAAGGAAAGGCAGGTGCATGTCCCAGGGGGAGGTTGGGAACCTGGGAAGGCTAGGTGGGAGGTGGGGGGCATGAGCGGGAGCAGGAGGGAGGAAGGGACCGACGCTGATTCCTAAGAACCCCCACTTCCGGACAGTGCGTAGTGCTGTCGAGAGTCCCTAGTTCCTCCCAGCAGAGGCTCCAACAGCCAAGCACAGGGTTGTCAATAGCCTTGAGCGTCAAACCCACTCAAGTTGACCCGGGCTGCCCCAGCCGCCTCTGACAGCCCCATCTGGGCATCTGGACTTGGGTTCTAGCTGCCCACCGTCTCAGTCCCCGCAGCAGGGCCCCCAACCCCTTTTGTAGTAAAGATGCCATCAGTGACCCCTGAGCACACAGAGGGTAATACAGGAAATGGTGAGCCTGGCCAGGTGTCACTGCCCGGGGTCAGAAGTTTGTAGTCCTCTCTGGAGGACTGCTGGGAGCCTCAGAGGTATCAGAGGGCACGTCTCAAGCTGTGTCCTTTTTCTTCTTCTTTTTTGAGATGGAGTCTCACTCTGTCGCCCAGACTGGAGTGCGGTGGTGCAATCTCGGCTCACTGCAACCTCCACCTCCCAGGTTCAAGCGATTCTCCTGCCTCAGCCTCCCGAGTAGCTGGGATTACAGGCACGCGTCACCATGCCAGGCTAATTTTTTTGTATTTTTGGTAGAGACGAGGTTTCACCACGTTGGCCGGGCTGGTCTCGAACTCCTGACCTCAAGTGATCCACCCAGCTCAACCTCCCAAAGTGCTGGGATTCCAGGCGTGAGCCACTGCGTCCGGCCATTTTTCTTCTTATAACTTTTATTATGGGTAATTCCAAATAGACACAAAAATAGAGAAAATTACATAAAGACCCCCAGCTTTCACAACCCACAAAAATAGAGAAAATTACATAAAGACCTCCAGCTTTCACAACCATCGATGCAGGGCCACTCTTGTTCACCTCTCACTGCCCCACTCCCTGCCCATCCCTGGAGACGTTTACATGAATCCCAGGCATGTGATACCATCCACAGATAGCCCAAGATGTAACTCTGCTAGTGACCGCAACACCATTCTCACACCTAAAAAGATGTCTAATGTCATCCATATGCAGCAGTGTTCAGACAATCCACGTGTCTTGTAGTTGTTTTTTTTTTTTAAACAGTTGTCTTGCTGACATCATGATCCAAAATCCACACATTGCATTTGTTAGATGTCTGTTACCCTTCTTTTAATCTAGTTTCCCCTTTCTTTTTCCTCTGAAATGTATTTGTTGAAGAAACTGGGTTGTGTGTCCTGTAGAGGTTCCCACAGCCTGGATTTGTGGATTGCAGCCTTGTGGTGTGTTGAACATGTTTCTCTGTCCCCTGTAATCCCCAAAATGGCAGTTATATGCAGAGGCCTGCTTTGATTTAGGTTTGGGTTTTGAGGAGAACACTGTGAGTGGTGCTGTGTTCCTCCACTGGTGACATGTGCTGTCCCAGGATGGCCTTGCCCTTGGTTAGGGTGTCCCCACAGCGTACAGGAGACACAGGAGGCCTCAGGAGAGGGTCTTGCATGCAGGAGGCGTCCCATGAATGCCAAGCCCGGTTGCTAACACTGTGGAGCAGTCAGGCCTGCCTGATCTGGGGGCATTGGGCAACACATCCTATGCAGGGAACTTTACCAGTACATTCATTAGTGGGGTGTGTGTATCTGTGTCTCTGTCTCTATGTGTGTGTTTCTCTATGTGTCTATGTCTCTAGATCTGTGTATGTCTGTGTCTATCTCAAACTTGTTTTTTCCCCTTTTGTGGAGAATGGAGTCTTGCTATGTTGCCCAGGCTGGTCTCCAATTTCTGGGCTCAAGAAATCCTGCCTCTGCCTCCCTAAGCTCTGGGTTACAGGCATGAGCCACCACGCCCAGTCTCTTTGTCTGTCTCCAAGTATGTATGTCTGTCTGTGTGTGTCTGTCTGTGTGTGTGTATGTGTGTCTCTGTCCCTATGTCTCCGTGTGTGTGTCTCTGTATATGTGTGCGCCCGTGTCTGTCTCTGTGTGTGTGTGTGTCTCATGTACAGCCAGAGCAGTGATCAGGCTTCCCAGGAGTTGGGAGGGGAGTCCCAAAGGTAGGTGAACAAGGCAGGAAGAGGAACTTTGTAAAAACAGACACCAGCCAGAGGGACTGGCTAAGTAATGCCCTCCCCAACCCTGGCTCCTGTAGATGATACAGTCAGATGGGAAGGAGCCAGGCCAGCCGCGTTGGAGGGTTTAGTGTAATGAATTCTTTATTCTTCACCTTTCCAGCCTCCTTGGGGCCACCCCTCGCCCCAGCACCCAGGACCTTCAAGGCCAGAATAGTGGTGACTCTTCTGTGTCCTCATGAGTCACTTGTCCTTCTGGGCTATAAAACGGGTGGGCGCTTGTTCCCAGGCCCATCACTCAGCGAAGGAGATAAAGAGCAGAGGAGATAAAGTCCGTGGCAGGCAGCGTCTGGACTTTCAGTTTCTGGAGGCACTGGGAGCTTGGCCCCAGGAGAAAGGGATGGGAGGAGGAGGAGCTTAGAGCCAGAGGGCAGTGTCTAGGTCACCTCTTTGTGGCCCTGTGGGAACCTCCTGCCTCTAAATGTGCCTCACCTACATTACCCTCCCTGGCCAAAGGGCTTGGAGGCTTCCTAAACAGCCTCTAGGGATCTCCATCCCAAATCAAATCTACCCATCTTGCTTCTTAAAAAAAAACAAAAACAGGCTGGGCGTGGTGCTCATGCCTGTAATCCCAGCTCTTTGGGATGCCAAGGAGAGCGCTTCACTTGAGGCCAGAAGTTCAAGACCAGCCTGGCCAACATGGCGAAACCCTGTCTGTATGAAAAATACAAAACTAGCTGTGCATGGTGGCGGGTGCCTGTAATCCCAGCTCCTCGAGAGGCTGAGGCAGGAGAATCACATGAACCCAAGAGGCGGAGACTGCAGTGAGCCGAGATCACACCACTGCACTCCAGCCTGAGTGACAGAGCGAGACTCTGTCTAAAAAACAAAATCAAAAACAGCATTTATCACATACAGCTGGTTATTAAAATACTGATTTTAGAAATTAGAAATTCAGGGAAGTAAAATGAAAGCCAGTATAGCTTCTCTACCCAGCTGCAACTTACCACCATAATTTTTGTGAAGTAGGCCCTTCTAGTCGTGTGCACATGGGGGTCTGGTTCTGAAAGGATGACCTGCCACCTCACTCCAGTCACGGTGGAAGCGTTTTCCGTGGGTGTCTGAGGATTGGCACTTGGGAAGGGGGCAAGATGTGCTCGTGGAATGTGCTGTCTGGTCCCGCCCTCTCAGTTTACAGATGGAGAAACTGAGGCCCAATGGTACGGACCAGTGGGGAGGTTGGCATGGCCAGGGCTGCTGGCAGCGATTGCTGGCCTCCCTGAGGACTGAGGGCTGAGGCCGGGGCAGGCCCAGTGGTGGGTGAGGCACGAGGAAGGGTCCCATTCATTCATCCACTCTCCTGGCCCTGCTGTTAAGCCCCCGGTTGTCTTCCTTCCTCACTGGCTTCCAGAAAGAGTAGTTGAGGATCTCCCTGTCCCTGCTTCCCCTTCAGCCCCAGCAGCCCCACTCCACCCTGAGACCAGAGATGTCCAAGCGACAAGCAGCCCCAGCTAACAGGCCCCGCAGCCATGTGATCTGCCCAGCATTGTCACTCTTGATGCCTTCCTCTTCAGTTGCCTCTCAGCCCCAACCTTGGCGCCTCCCGCTCTCCCCCACCTCCCTGACTTCCCCTCCTCTGAGGGTGTCTGTAAGGCTGAAAGGGGATAGTATGGGGCTTTACTCCAAAAATGGTAGGGCCCCACTCTTTCCCCCACTGCACACACAGCCCCACACTCAGGATTTCCAATTGCACTGACATGGTCACTGAACACATAGTCAGCCTCTCCAAACTCCGCATGAGCCTGTAGTCAGGTGCAGGTGCTGAGTGCTTTATGTCCCTCACGTAATGTCATCCTCCCCGCAGTTGTTTGAGGAAGTCATTTTCACTACCCAGATTTTGCAGATGAAGAAACAGTGAGGTTCAGAGGGGTTAAGCAACTTGTGGAAGGCCACAGAGCTGGGGAGAGGCTTTGCTGTCGGGGCTGGCGACACCAGGGCAGCTTCCCCACACATCATAAGCACGTACAGATTTCAGACCTACACAACCCACGCACTGCAGCAGCGTAACACGCAGACGGTGCCTAAGCGGGGTACCCAAGGCCCGACGACACACGTGACAACAGGCCCTTTAGGGAGACCCAGCCAACGCGCGCCCCTCGACCTCCCCGGCCCCGCCCTCTTTGTTCAGACTCCGCCCCTCCAGGCTCCCGGGTCTGACCTCGGCGAGGGCGGGGCCGCGGGCGCGCGCACGCACGCACGCGTCCCTGGGCCTCTCCGGTCCCGCCCCTCCCTGGCCCCGCCCTCCTCACCCCTCCGGCTCCGCCCCCAGCCTGACATCAGCAGGGGCCGGGCCGCGGGCTCACAGCGGAGGCAAAGCCCAGTCGCGCGGGCTGCGCCGCCGCCCCCGCCGCGCGCCGGGCCGGCCCCGCGCCCGCGCTGCCCCGGGTCCCGCGGCCCGGCCCCTGCCGCGAGCCTTCCATGGTGCAGCGCATGTGGGCCGAGGCGGCCGGGCCTGTTGGCGGCGCCGAGCCGCTGTTTCCGGGCTCCCGGCGGAGCCGCAGCGTGTGGGACGCCGTGCGCCTGGAGGTGGGCGTCCCCGACAGCTGCCCGGTGGTGCTGCACAGCTTCACGCAGCTCGACCCCGACCTGCCGCGCCCGGAGGTGGGTGAGCTGGGGCGGTCGGGTGGGGGATGCGTCGGAGTCTCCCCACCCACGGCAGAGCTGGGCAGGCCGGGGCGAGCCCTGGACGGGGCCGGGCTATCCTAGCGGGCCGCCTCCCTCCTCCCTCCTCCGTAGGTGGGGGTCGGGGCCTTCTGCAGAAATCAGCCAGCAGGGTGGGCCAGGGGGCTGCCGCCCCGCCCCGTCCAACAGTAGGGACCACGGCTGGGATTTTGCCCCCCTCAATACCGTCCCAGGTCCTGCTGTCACCGAGTCCCCTCAACCCAGGTGGACCTTTTCCTGCGGCATTGTCACTGTTTACATCGGTGGCCTGTGCCTTATTTCACCCAGTTGCCCACCCAGGGCCTGCACCACGTCGTTAGCCTTTCCAATGCAGGTGTGGAACAAGTGGTCGGGAGGGCCGAATCCTAGAATCCTCAGAGGTGATGAGACCATAGGGGCCTTCCAGACAGACCCTACTTGGGGCAGATGTGGATCTGGTGACCAGGGACATCGGGGCTGCTCATAGCGGGGCGGGTTTGGGGGGAGGGTCGCGGAATGAGGCGGAGCAGCAGGCCTCCAACACGTGGGACCAGATGTCCTGGTGGTGAGCGGAGGAGGGTAGCCCAGGCCCAGAGCGGGCGAGACTTGTTTCTGCTTAACTGGAAAGAGTGCCAACACCCTGAATCTGTAAGGACTGGGTAGGATTCAGAGAAGGAAGTGGTGTACGTGTGATGGATGAATGGGAGGGTGACCAGGTGAGGGCTGGGGCTTGTTTCTCGTGTGCCCTGGGTCTCTGGGTGGTGCCATCTGCCTCCCACCTGACTGCACAGCTGGAGTGGAGAGGGCCTCTCTGTATTCACAGGGAGCATCTCCCTTCAGCCTCCGTCTTCCCACTGTTTGATCTCTTGATCGCACTGTGTGCAGGTCTTTGGTTTAATTCAGAGACGCCCCCCTCGCCCTGCTCTGCCTGGGTACAGGGCCTGCACAGAGACCATCCCTGGATCAGGGGCTCAGGGCCCATCAGAGCTCTGGCTGGGCTGCAGCCTTCACAGTGAACCTCCTGAGTCCCCGTGCTGCATCGTGTCGCCTTGGTGCATCTCCAGTCCCTTCATGGCTTTAGACTGTGGCGTGTTGTGATTGCTGGCGATTGTTAGCCTGAGTCTCGTGCCTCTTGGTGTCCTGGTACCTAGACAGGGCCTGGATGAGACTTGTTTCTCCGCCCAGTGTTGGGAAGAGCTCTTGGTGGGGGAACACCCCACGCCTGAGAGACCCTTTCCTCCTGAGCTTGGCAGATGGCCGGACCAGACGTGTTCCCTCAACCCTCATCTACCCAGGGCTCTGGTCCTCATTGGCGGCTGGAGAGGGACCCCTGGGAGGGTGGGGGTGGGAGTGGGAGGCTGACAGCAGCCCAGCGCTCATCTGGCTTTCATTACCTCTGGCAGCAGCTCGGCCTTTGTGTGCTGGGAGGGTCTGGCGTAGCGCTCACAGGGGCCGTGCAGGTTCGCTCTCTCCGTCCCTGAGGAACCAAGGGAGAGGCAGAGCTGAGCCCCACCCCTGCCTGGGGTCTTGCCTTCCCTCTCTGGCCCTGGCCCTCCTGGCCCAGCCTCGGCTCTGAGATCCAGCCTGTGGCTGCTATTTAAAAATCAAAGGGGAAACTTCTGGCTGGGTCAGGAAAACCAGGATCCTGGCAGGAGAGGAGGCCACTGCCGGAAACTGAACACAATGACCATTTACCAAGGGCCCAAGGGAGGGGGCGGGGAAGTCCCTGTCCCTCCTGCCAGCACCCCCTATCCTGGGGCTGGTTTCCTGGTGGCTATGTGGCCTGCCAGAGCTGACGCTGCGCACTTGGTCCCTGTCCTCTGGAAACCACCAGACAGTTTTTCTGCCTTCCCCCACACCCCTGTTTCCCTACCTAGCTTCCACCCGGTGCTTCCCTCTGGGCTGCCAGATGTTCTCACATCTGGGCTTCCGCTTATCTTCTCGGTTCTAAGGCAAGTCACCACCGACCCAGCTTGGCCTGCACAGTTCTTGCTTTCTGGAGGTGACCTGGTTGGTGCCCCCATCTCTGGACAGGCGGTTGCTTTGGCCTGGCAAAAAGTGCAGGTTGTGGGCCACCCCCTCACTTCATCTGCCTTAGACCAACCCTACAGAGTAGGTGCCAACACCACCTTCTAGGAAGCTGGGGGGTCAGAGAAGGGAAGTCTCCGACCTAAACCCCCGTGCAGCCAACAAGGGCCACAGCCGGGATTTGAGCATGGGCTATGTTCTCTGTGGCACCTGCTGTGTGCAGGAGCCGTCAGGAATCAGAGAAGGCCCAGGCAGCCCAGATGCCCCGAGCAGTAGGGAAGCTTATGGCTCAGAGGAAGGCAAAAGTGCTTTGGGCCACAGGACGCCGGGGAGAGCTACCCGGAGGAAGCAAGCCCAGAACTAGACCCCGCAGGTTTAAAATGACAGCTAATAGGAGCCAGCAGGTTTTGGGGAGGTTCTGAGCTAAGTAATTTGCATCACCTCCTTTTGGGGTCAAGACTGGTAAGAGCCCATTTGACAGATAAAGCCACTGAGGCAACAGAGGCTAATTCGATTGTGCAGAGTGACCAAGCTGGTCAGTGGCAGGGGCAGGATTCTGACCCAAGGCCTGAGGGCAGTTGTAGGTGGGCTGGAGTGGAGAGGGCCTCTCTGTATTCACAGGGAGCATCTCCCTTCAGCCTCCCACGTCTTCCCACTGTTTGATCTCTTGATCACACTGTGTGCAGGTCTTTGGTTTAATCGCCAGGGCTCATGAGCACTTTGACGCTGAAGACCCGAGCCAAGGAGCCTGTCCCTGTGTGGGTGTGTGTCCCTGCGTGCATGTGTGCAGACTGGTCTTCCAGGAGAGCTTCCTAGGTGACTCCGAAGGGGCAGCCCCCAGGACCCTCAGGTTCCCCTCTTGCTGTACTCCTCGGGAGGGTCCCCCAGGAGAAGAGGGCGACAAGGCTGGCTGGTCCTGGGTCTTTGTTTCTTCTCCAGGTGGGGGATGCTCAGGCATGCTGGCCTGTTTCCCAGGAAGCTCAGGAATGGCCCTGGGAGATATGAAGCTGCTTGTTGGCAGGGCTGGGGTCTGATTCTTAACCTGGAAGTTGGGCATTGGCAGGCCCTGTCTGCGTTGCCAGTGAGAAAAAGAGCGGGGAGATTCGTCCCTGGCCCTCTGCAGGCAGGCTCGGAAGGAGCCAGTGGAGCGGTTTCAGGAAGCTGCGCCCAGGCAGTCAAGGACTGGTTTCCAGGGGCTGCCGGTTGGCCACCCAGGTGACTCCCATGGCATGGTACCGCCATGCTGTGGCCACCCAGTCCCAGGGTTGGACTTCCAGCCTTGCAGGCCCAGAATCGCTGTGTTCACAGATACGCAGCACCAGCAGAGCAGTGGTCCCCATTTGATTGTCAAGGGGCAGACACTGAAGCCTGCAGCCTCATGCAGGACAAACTGAGCTTTGAGCAGACCCAGTTCTTCTAGTTCCGCACACCTTGCCTGCCCACGGGCCGGGGAGGCAGGGGGATGGCAGCCCAACGGTGGCTTGGCAGGCAGGGCAGGACACCTGCGTTGGAGGGTTTTGGCGTCTTCCTCCGTGGGGAAGCTTGCATGCTTTGGCAGCCTCCCCTGTAGTCATTCCTGGAGACTTTTATCCATCTCAACCGAGAGGCAGGGAGCCTGGGCTCTGGAGAGAAGAGAATTGTGCTGGGATGCCAGCTCAGTCCCCTGGCAGCTGTAGATGTGCTCCTGAGTCTCAGTTTCCTCATTGATAAAATGGACGTGATGCCAGCCCTCTTCTTAGGGTTGTGGTGAGCACCCTCGAGTGAAACAGGAGGTCTGAGGAGTGGCCAGCACAGCACTTGGCACAGTGGCTAGGTGGCAGCTGCCACAATGAGGTTTTCTGATTAGGTGCCAGGGGAGTGGCCTGAGCCTTCCAAGGGCCCTGGGCTCCTGGGGTGCATCACCTGGCACCTTCAGCATGGCACTTCCCTAGCCTGGTGTCTTGCAGGCCTTTTGCCCAGGGCATGTCCACAAACCTCTCGAAGATGCAGGTGCTGGAAAGCTGGCCCTGCCACACTCCCCTGCGAACTTGCTGTGTGACCTGAGAAAATCCCTTCTGTCTCTGGCCCCTCCTCCACATCTGTGCTACAAGGGGTTGGACTCTGCTCCAAGCTTGAGACTGTGGCAGAGGCAGCGCCAGGCCTGGGTGGGTCCCAACAGGCCAGGGTTCAAATCCACATTCTGGCTGCCACTTCCTGGCTCCCGATCTGGGCGAGTTCCTACTAGGCTGTTTCCTTATCCATCAGGCAGGGTGTTAGGAGGATTAAACATGATGGGTGTCCAAAGGGCCTTGCACCCAGGAAGTGCCTGCACGTACCGGGCACCGTGGCTGGTTAAAGTTGGGGCTGGACCTTCAGCTGGCCCTGCCCTGCATTCCCTTGGGACCAGCCCACCTTCCTCCTCAGCTGCCCCTCCTGGGCCTGGCCCTGTGTTCGCCTGACTGTCAGGGGCTGGGTGTGGACAGCGACCCTGGATGCCCGAGGCTTGTGGCTGACCTGGAGGTCTGCACGGCACAGGCCTGCAGGGAGGGTTTCTGGAGAGATGGGCTGGCCTTTGGGGGACTCAGCACAGGCTGGTTCCCAGCCGCCACTTTCCGAGGCCAGGGAGCATCCTGGTGGGCAGGCACCTTGTGTCGTCCCAGTCTGAGGCCACTTCTCTGGGTTGCCGTGCCCAGGATCAGGAAGGAGTATGGCCCACCAACACCCAGGGCTGGCCTCCTGTCATCCTGGGGCCTTGTCCATGCCCTGGGGATCAGGGTTGGGTCCACCCACCCAGAGCTGGAGGGCAGGCCCGAGGGCAAGAGGGTCACGGACACACTGTCCTTGCATTCCACCTCCCTTGGTGGGGCTCGTGGTCTGAGCTCATGACTTGAGAAGTCCTGGGCTCTCACCTCAGCCAGCACACGCCCCACCGGCTCCCCTCCTCGGGCCTGGGTCCCCACCTCTGTAGGATGGAGAGGGTGCACAGCAGCATGGGCCCCGCACTGTCCCGGGAACCTGGGTTCTGTAGAGACTGAGCAGCCTTCTCTGATGCGTTTCGCGTTTGGCTTCTGTATTGGAGCGAAAAGCTCAAGTCAGAAAGCTGCTCCCACCCACTGGGTTTCAGGGTGACTCAGCCTCTCTTTACAGTGTCCCTCGGCTAGGTCCCCAAGCCTTAGGCAGGCCTCAGACAAGTTTCCCTCAGGTTTTTACCGCCCAGCGTCCATCGCCAGCCCCGTGGAGGATGTGGTATCAGGTGTCATCCGGTACCACACTGCCATCAGGTCCCAGTGCCAGTCACCAGAGGGCTCATGCTGGGAGGAGGCGCCGTTGGCCTGGGCGGGGAGATGGCAGGGCTAGGGCAGGCTTCGTGGGGCTCCTTAAGACCCTCACTATTCTACCCAGAGGGAATCTGGGTTTGGCCTGTGGCTTCCTCCCTCTGTCAGCCAGGGACATGGCATCCTGCTGGCCTGTCACTCTGAGAAGGCTGATCAGGTGACACACTCAACCAGACGCCACCAGGCCCTGTTTCCCCTCCTCATCTTCAGGGCTCCGGGCTGTGTCCCTGGGGACATTGGGGTGTGGGGGCCCCTACTCACCAGGGACCCCATGCCACCCTCACTGCACTGACCCAAATGTCAGAAGACCAGGCAGTGTGTTTACAGGCACAGCTGCCGACTGGGTCCCAGAGCCCAGGGACATCAGCACGCCTGCTGGGGGTGGGACAGGAGTGTCCCCTGAGTACACAGCCAGGCATGTGGTGTTCTTTTCTCCTAGCAGTCAGCTCATAGCGGCTGCCTGGGCGCCTGCCCTCGGGGGGAAGCATTTTCTCTGCATCAGCTGTCCACTAGGCTGTTTCTGCTCCTCCGCCTCTGAACTCCCAGCCCTGCCAGAGTGCCCTGGGGCCCAAGCGCTGCCCAGATGGGGTGTCCGCTAACAGAGTGAGCTAGGGTGGCCTGTGGGTGCTGGAACCCTACCTTTCTTGCTCCAGAGGGTCCCAGGGCAGCTGCCAGGGCTGTTGCCTTGCTTTCTCTGTCCTGTGAGGGGGGCTCAGCGCAAAGGGTAGAGGCCCTACTCTGCCACTTTGTTCCCAGACCCCAGGGCAGTTTGCTCTGGAGCCTGCACCTCCACCATCTGAGCAGGCGGTTTAAACGGCCCCTGTGCTCCACGTAGCTCTATGGTCGGTTCCCTGCCCGCTGCTGCTGTGACGGGAAGGGACCAGAGAAGACAGACTAGCTCCACGAGGGCTAGAGCGTCTCCCTGACCGTGTGACAGGGTGGCAGCTCCCTCACCGCAAGCATGTGTGGCTCTCAGCATTGGGCCTGCATCCCTCCCCACCACCCGGCTGGCAGGAGAGGGCCCCCGGGGGGTGGGGGAAGGGTGCAGGGATCATATGACACCAAGCAGGGCTGGGCCAGCTGCTGGCCCGCCAGCTCACGGAGGAGCCACTATCTAGACCTGCTCAGGGATGGCTGAGGCCACCTGGCTTCAGCCCCTCCTGGAGATTGGCCTGCCTGGGGACACCTCTGTCCGGCAGGCACGGGTGGTGCTCAGCCAGGACCTGGGTGCTGTGCCGGGCTCCCCCAGGGTTCATGTTTAGTCCCCTGTGGCGGGCTTGTCCTGCATGAGACCTCAGAGCCATTGCCGGTGACTTGGGCACTCAGGATACTGTCTGCTTCGCAGCTGGTCCAGATGTGGCTAAAATCCCTAGGGGAGAGAGAGACTCCCAGCTGAGCCAACAGCCTTCACAGGAGGCAGTCTGGGACCCCTGAGGAGGCCAGGGTGGTTGGGGGCCCTGGGCAGTGTAACCGCTAATGCTTTTCTTTTCAAAGGAACGATCTTCTAGGCAGGGGACAGACGTGTGAGTCAGGAAAGGGGTTGAGTGTATGTCTCTGTTTTCCTGTCAGTGGAAGGGCCGGACCTCCCCTGGCGGGGCTGTCTGTGGGGTGTGGGTGTGAGTGTGCCTGTGGGTTCCCGGCTAACTTCCAAGAAATGGGGCTGGCTGGCTGTCCAGAGGCGGTGGCGGTCAGGAGCCCAGCATGGTGCCCACAACTTTCCTGTTGTACAAAGCCGAGAGTGGGAGGGCGACCTCGGGTCAGAGGAAGTGGACTTCCAGGATGGCTCCTGGGCCTCCCAGGGCCGGGCCTCCGAGGGTGCGCAGGAGGCAGGAGGCTGGGGTCCCGTCCACAGCATGCTGGACAGTCTACCTGACTCCTGCCAGGGTTGAGGGAAGGGCCTGAGTCAGCACTGTCTACCAGGCCTTCTCTGAGCTCCACTCCCACCTAGGTTGGGGCATTGACTGTGCGGTTAATGACCCTGGGCCAGGCCAGTACCTCCCAACTCCTTCCTAACCTCTGAGGTTGGTGTCCTTACGCCACCCCCAACCCCGGCTCCTCTACCTGCTGCAAGCTCATTCCATCCCTGGACAGAGCAAGTGGCAGAGGGCTGTGAGGCAGGGGGTAATTGTGGCTAAGTGACCTAGGCCAGCCTGCCAGGTGGGGGGAGTCTGTCTCCTAAGACAAGGGCCTTTCCTTACTGCCTGGAGCCAGAGGCCCCCTTCCTGTTCCAGCCCAGGCCTGTGGTTTAGGGCTCTGTGGAACCCCAGCGTCTGCCTGGATACTGGCACCGTCACCTCTCACGCCCGTCCCCTCATGTGATGACGGTCAGGGAACTGGGAAATCCCATTGCCCAAGCAGGCACGAGGGCATGAATGAGCAGAGGGGAAGGAAGTGGCTGGGATGTGGCCGCTGGGGGTGCCCCACACCTCCCCAGATCCGGGCTGCTGACACGCCAGAGCTGGGCCTGGAGGAGCTGCCCACTCCTGCTGGGTCAGCCAGGGCCCGCCAGGCTGGGCAGAGGAGGGGTGAGTGTGAGGACGCCCATGGGCCTCTGGCCCTGGGGAGGTGAGGGAACTTTCTCTCAGGGCATAACCGCCTGGATGCAGTCAGCCGTGTCAGAGCCCTGGGATCCCCGCCTCACCGCTTACCCAAGGCAGCATGACCTTGGACCAGTTGTTCCTCTCTCAGCCTCCATTTACCCATCTGTGAAATGGCTGAATAACAGTCTCCACTATGGAGGGGGATGACTTGAGGGTGGGTCCGTCCTGGGCAGGAACAGGAGCCAGTTACTAGGGGATTGGAAGCCTGGTGAACCCATCATGACCGTGCCCCAGGTCGTGGCTAGCCAGGTTGGGGAAGTGGAGTGCCAGGACAGTGGCCCTCTGTGCCGATGTTTAACCCAGGCCATAGAGCTGTGATCTCATTTCACCCCGGGCTATAGGTCTGTGCAGCCACCAGTCTGTGCCCTGTCTGGGGAACAGGTTGCACAGGTCCATCCCCTGCACAGTGGCCAGGCAGGCCCCTGATGTCCCCACGCCCGGCTGCTGGGCGTTGTCTTCACAGAGCTCCACGCAGGAGATCGGTGAGGAGCTGATCAACGGAGTCATCTACTCCATCTCCCTGCGCAAGGTGCAGCTGCACCACGGAGCCAACAAGGGCCAGCGCTGGCTCGGGGTGAGTACGCTCTGGGTCTCCACTAGGAGGCGCAGCTGGGGATCCCTCCCAGGGCTTTGCTCCTTGAGAGCCCCACAGTTCTGATCCCAAAGGAAATGGCCCTCACTCCCTTCCCGACCCCCACTGTCCAGCCCAGGCTTGATCAGGTTTTCCGCGGCAAGTTTTCATGTTTGACCTCCCTTTTCCGGGTGTGCAGCCATCAGCCTCGCCATCCTCCATGCCTTCTCCCAGACGTGCACACTGTCTGGAGTAGGGGGGCTGTCTTCACCCAAGAAGAACAGGGTTTCAGGCTGTTAGGTCTCTGCAAATTGCCATCTCCCAGAACACATCCCTGGGGTTCCTCTAGGTTGAGAGCCGGTGCCTGACGCAGCTGCGTAATATTCCAGAAGGGAGGCTGGAGCCATTGCCGCAGTTCAGCTCCTCATGGCTGTGGGGCCACTTCAACAGTGCTGCAGGAGCCAGGCGCGGTGGCTCACGCCTGTAATCCCAGCATTTTGGGAGGCCGAGGCAGGAGGATCACCTAAGGTCAGGAGTTCGAGACCAGCCTGGCCCACCATGGTGAAACCCCATCTCTACTAAAAATACAAAAATTAGCCAGGCATGGTGGTGTGCGCCTATAATCGCAGCTACTTGGGAGACTGAAACATGAGAATTGCTTGAGCCCGGGCGGCTGAGGTCGCAGTGAGCTGAGATCACGCCACTGCGCTCTAGCCTGGGTGACTGTCTCAAAACAAAACAAATCAGTGCCACAGGGAAGATGCCGTGTGTCCTAATGGACCAGTCCCTCCCAGCCCCTGGGTAAGCCTCTGTTTCCTCATCTCTAGAATGAGGATACACTTTTTTTTTTTTTTTTTTTGAGATAGAGTCTCATTCTGTCGCCCAGGCTGGAGTGCAGTGGTGCGATCTCAGTTCACTGCAAGCTCCTCCTCCCAGGTTCACGCCATTCTCCCGCCTCAGCCTCCCGAGTAGCTGGGACTACAGGCGCCCACCACCTCGCCTGGCTAATTTTTTGTATTTTTAGTAGAGACGGGGTTTCACCATGTTAGCCAGGATGGTCTCGATCTCCTAACCTCGTGATCCGCCCGTCTCAGCCTCCCAAAGTGCTGGGATTACAGGCGTGAGCCACTGCGCCAGGCCTAGAATGGGGATGTTTTGTTAGAACTCTCAGGTGACGCTGTTCCCACAGGGCAGCTACCATTACTCAGTTAACAACTGACTGACCTGAAGGTGTTAATATTTAAATCATTCCCGTACCTCAAATTCTACTTTACATTTTTTTCAGTCTTTTAGAGAAAGGGTCTCACTCTGTCACCCAGGCAGTGGTATGATCATAGCTCACAGCAGCCTTGACCTCCTGGGCTCAAGCGATCCTCACCCCTCAGCTCCCCAGGTAGCTGGGACTACAGGCGTGCGCCACCATACCTGGCTAATTTTGTATTTTTTGTAGAGATGGGGTTTTGCCATGTTGCCCAGGCTGGTCTCAAACTCCTGGCCTCAAGTGATTTGCCCACCTCAGCCTCCAAAAATGCTGGGACGACAGGCGTAAGCCACCATGTCGGGCCCTGGCTAATTTTTAAGTTTTGTAAACAATTTTTTGTAGAGATGGGATTTCACTTTGTTGCCCAGGCTGGTCTCGAACTCCTGGCTTCAAGCGATGCTCCCACCTTGGCCTCCCAAAGTGCTGGGATTACTGGTATGAGCCACCACACCTGGCCTGAAATTCTACTTTTAAAGCTGATAACCTTTTTCTGCTAGAGACATTCAGTGCTGCCTCCTGCCACAAGCCACTGAGGGCTCAGGGTTCCATTTGAGCTCCAGGGGATTCATGTGCTGCCACTCACTGTCCTTCCTCTGTCCCACCCCAGTATGAGAATGAGTCGGCCCTGAACCTTTATGAGACTTGCAAGGTGCGGACCGTGAAGGCTGGCACGCTGGAGAAGCTGGTGGAGCACCTGGTGCCCGCCTTCCAGGGCAGCGACCTCTCCTACGTCACCATCTTCCTGTGTACCTACAGAGCCTTCACCACCACCCAACAGGTCCTGGACCTGCTGTTTAAAAGGTGAGCACGCACCCTCCACTGCATGGGATGCACAGGGCCCCTCACCCCCGCCCGGCTGTGGGTCTTGGCAATGCTGGTTCACCTCTCTGAGCCTCGCTTTGCTTGTACGAAAGAAAAACTGGGTGCTAAGAGGACCTCATGGGGTTATCGTCAGGCCTGCGTGGGATGAGGGGTGGAACGTGCTCCTCCACCACGTGGCCCTAGGGAATGGGCTGCTGGACTGTGGTGCTTGTATTTACGATTTTCCTGTCCCCCATGGGGAAGCGCTCTGCCCCAAGCCTCACTCGTATGTGGCCTTGGACAAAGCAGTTTTCCCACTTGTCAAGGACATTCCAGATTGTACCCGGGGGCTGGTGGAGGGGTCCGAGGGGCACTCAGATAGCTGGGAAGGAGCTGGTTGGGGCTCATTCATTGAACAAATGTATATGAAGCACCTACTGTGTGCTGGCCCTTGTCTAGGCATTTAACATAATTTGATGAAAAAAAGCAAAAAAAAAAAAAAAAAAATCCCTGTCCTCCTGGGCCTCCGTTCTAGTCGGAGAGTCAGACAGTAACACACGACGTCGTAAGCAGGTACGGTAGATGTGATGCCCTCACGGCCTCCTCTAGATACGGCTGCGTCCTCCCCTATTCCGACGAGGATGGCGGACCCCAGGACCAACTTAAAAAGTGAGTGAGCTTTCAGCCAAGAGGAAGGGACCCTGTCTCCAGCAAACAGTGGGAGAGTGCATGGGGCTGGGGCTGGAGCGAGATGGGCAGAACCGTGGCTCCCACACCTCTTGCGGTTCCTGCTGGAGGGCTGGGGTCTGGGGGCTTCGCCTGCAGGAAGAAATAAGACCAAGAGCTGGGGAGGGGTCCTGAGGTGGCTGGGGCTCAGAGCAGCCGCTGGCGGGAACCCATCCCACCATAGCCTCATCCTAGCTGGGCGTGGCTCAGTGTGCCCTGATCTAGGGGCCCAGGGCAGGAGGTGGGGTGAGCCTGTGCTCTCACATTGCCTCGCCCCTCAATGAGTGCTTAGTGGGCAGGCTACACCTCACTCTCTGGGAGAAGGGGATCAGTGGGAAGGTAAGACCCACAGTGGTCAGAGAGCCAGGCAGCTCACCAGCACCGAGCTACGAGTCGAGTCGCCAGGGACCTGGGATGCCAGGCAGGAGGACAGATCCCTCATGGAGTTTATGGTCCAGCGAGGAGAGGGGCTGGAGACATGCAGAGGCGTGGGCGGGACTTCCCTGGAGGAGGGGAGAGGTGTCGCTATTGACCAGGGGCCTCCTTGCTTCTTTGCCTGGACAGCCAAGGAGGCTGAGGCTTGGGCTGGGGTGGGTGGCCTCCGGATGGACAGGGGCCAGCACAGGAGCCCAGCCTGGCTCACGGAGCCATGGGAGGGCCATGGGGGAAGGGGAGCCCAGACCTCTGACTCTGCTGCCCACCCACCTGTCCCCAGTGCCATCTCCTCCATCCTGGGCACCTGGCTGGACCAGTACTCGGAGGATTTCTGTCAACCCCCGGACTTTCCCTGCCTCAAGCAGCTGGTGGCCTATGTGCAGCTCAACATGCCAGGCTCAGACCTGGAGCGCCGTGCCCACCTTCTCCTGGCCCAGCTGGAGCACTCGGAACCCACTGAGGCAGAGCCTGAGGGTGAGGACGACTGGGGTGGGTGCCAGAGGTTGAATGAGGCGGCGGCTCCAGGGTCTGGTGCTGGGCCAGGGGCACAGATGTCCTCAGACCACACAGGCAGGGACCACAGGTGGGAGGGGAGCCTGGTGCAGGTTTTGTGGGTTCGAGGGGAGCGGCTTCTCTGGAAGCCAGGGCTGTTCTCTGTCTTTGAAAAGGCACAGGAAGGGCTGGAATATTTTTGAACTTTTCTTTTACAGCTCTGTCACCAGTGCCAGCTCTAAAACCAACTCCAGAGCTAGAGCTAGCTCTAACACCAGCTCGAGCACCCAGCCCAGTGCCAGCCCCAGCGCCAGCTCCAACACCAGCTCCAGGCTCAGAGCTAGAGGTCGCTCCAGCACCAGCTCCGAAGCTCCAGCAGGCTCCAGAGCCAGCTGTGGAACTAGAACCGGCTCCAGCGCCAGCTCTGGAACTAGAGCCAGCTCCAGTACCACCTCCAGAACAGGATCCAGCTCCTTCCCAAACTCTAGAGCTGGAGCCAACTCTAGTGCCAGTTCCAGCATTAGAGCCTTCCTGGCCTTCACCTGTGGTTGCAGAGAACGGGCTGAGTGAGAAGCCTCACCTCTTGGTGTTCCCTCCCGACTTGGTGGCAGAGCAGTTTACACTGATGGATGCGGTGAGCGGCTCAGATTGGCAGGGCAGGGGTGGGCCTGCCTTCTGGCATCTGCTGCCCCCTACCTAGCATTCCCTGGTCCAGAGCTGATGTTCTGGTCAAATCCCAGCTCTACTGTTACACACCAAGTAACCAGGGCCAGTTTCTGAACCCCAAGTCCTCAGTTTCCCTCCGGACGGTAGAGATGGGGTCACCCCTGTCCTCCAGAGTGACTGTTGAGATTCCAGATGGAGCAGACGGGAAGCTCAGCAGGCCTGGCCTGTGGGAGTGGAGGGTGCTCACCAGGGTGCTCCATGGGTCACCCCCATCTGTTTAGGAGGCTCACCAGCTTCAGCACTCATTAGGTATTCAGTGTGTCCTGGAGCCCATGGCAGACACTGGACAAAGCCCCTAGTTATAGCGCCCACAGCCGATGTGCGTCTGGATGGGGAGCAGACTGAGGCCTGCCATGTGGGATGATAGGGGGTGGGGCACTGGGGCGTGGGCCAGTAGTGCCGTTTGGTCCATGCAGGTGCGAGCCGCCTGTCGGCGCTGGGGCTTGGTGAGGATGTGCGAGGCAGTGCTCCTGTTGTTCCCACCAGCATTCTGTCCTGGGTCACTTGTGTGCTAGGCACCCTGCATGGACATGGGATAAAATCCGGAGACCCCCACAAGGGGGTCAAGCTACATCCTCAGCTTCCCCAGCGCCAGCCCAGACTGCTGGGGCACAGCCAGGTGACGCTTACCCTCCTCCCCAGGAGCTGTTCAAGAAGGTGGTGCCCTACCACTGCCTGGGCTCCATCTGGTCCCAGCGGGACAAGAAGGGCAAGGAGCACCTGGCACCCACCATCCGCGCCACTGTCACCCAATTCAACAGCGTGGCCAACTGCGTCATCACCACCTGCCTCGGGGACCGAAGCACAAAAGCCCCAGACAGGGCCAGGGTGGTGGAGCACTGGATCGAGGTGGCCAGGGTACGCCACAGGAGGGGCCTGGGCCCCCTCTTGGCCTTCATCTGTTCTCAGGTTGTGGTCTGCAGTCCAAGCCCCTGTACAGGCCCCAGGCCCCTCTTCCCAGGGGCACGCTTTCCTTGACTCTCCCAGCCCACTGCCTGGATGCTCACGTCCTCCTTACGCCGTTTCCTTAGGTTGAGCTAAAATCCTGTCACCCCTGGGTCGCAGGTGTGCCCTCTGGGGACTCACTGAG